ACACAGGTGCAGTGGGTGGAGTCCAGAAACTCAATGCAGCGGGACGCTCTCACATGGGTGGAGACAGAAGCAGGAGGATGAGACGGTGAGGAAGAGGATGCTGATACAGAGGTGGATGCATCATTGTTTACAGTGGTATCCACAACTGAGAGGACAGGAAACAGTACAAGCTTATACAATGACCTTTGACCTTTTAGACTTTAGTCAGAGTAAACACCATATTTAATATGACACAAAAATGACAGCGAGGTCCTGAGGAAAGTACAGACCATTCAGTGTGTCATACTGATGTCAAAAACAGAAACTGACAGCAACACAAGAGTACACAATACTGGGCCTCATTCATGAAAACCAGCATGTCAGCATGTAAGAATTTACACATTTGTGTTTCTTAAAAGAGAAAGAAATAGTTGCACTGAATTGAAGCAACAACTTGCACAGAGGATTCATGAATGAGTTACTCAAAAATGCTCAGTTTGTCTTTTATAAATAATTCTTACATAGATTTTAATATGAATAAATTACACAGAAATTCCTTCATCTTTTGTTTCCTGAATAATGTGTAAATTGTTACACTGAAATACTATTTGACAATTTATGCAAAAGTTTTTTTGAATGATTTACACAGAAATTTGTTTGGCTCATGTTTCACAAATGAGGTTTACATTTTTACACTGAATTACATTTGACAATTAATGTCAAAGGCTTTTTGAAGATTGTTTTTCTCATGTTTTATTAATTAAGGCATAACATTTTTTTAAGGCATATATGTTGCAATGAATTCAATGTGATTGTTTTTGCACAGTTTTTTACAGGTGAATTTACAAAATTTTGTTCGGCTAGAGTTTTATAAGTGCAATTTGTTATGTTAATTTGAAAGCAACAACAATAAAAGAGGGTTTACTATGGACGTGAATTTGTTTGGCTCCTTCATGTTCCATAAATTGCTATTTTAAACTGAATGCAACGATTTGCGCAAGAGAATTTACAAAGGATTTACAAAATTTGTTGGGCTAGTTCCATGAGTAAGGCGTAATTTGTTCTGTTAATATGAATGCAGCTTGTTACACTGAATTAAATGCAACACTGCGTAAGAGGTTTGTAAATGATTAGGTTTATTATGTCAATGATTTGAATATAAGATGGTTTAGCTTGTATTTCTTGATGAGTAAATGATTAGAAATTTAAATGAATTCCAAAAGTTTATATATATGCAACAGTTTATATATTAAATTATTTTATGAACTATTTACACACAAATTTGTTAAAAGAGGCATAAATTGCTATAGAATAGAATGTGAAAATTTACTTGAGGTTTTGCTAATTATTTCCACAGAAATGCAATTAATTAAATATTAAATGTACAAAAGAATGGCCATGTTTGGTGCCATATTAAATATGTCTACTGTCACTAAAGTCTAAGCATGTGTCAAACTTACATACTAAACAATGATTTCAGAGTCTAGTGCAAGTCAAATAAGTCAAAGTTTCTCCGGTCAAAGATGATAAAGGTTTAAAAAGATAATATCAGACTTATACACTTGCAGGAGGGTTGAGCTCTACTCCAGTCCTGGGAGTCCAGACAGGCTCTGGTTTCCGGCCCCATCAGCTGAAACCCAGAGCTGCACAGGAAGTGAACCTCGTGACCAAACTTAAACACATTGCCTAGGATCCACACATTAGCCAGCGGTTCAGGTGGAGGACAGTCTGACACTGGAAAACAGAAATAAAGAGGCTACACATGCATTTCCTACGTATTGCATAGTGCATAGAATAGCCTGTGCTTTAACACTTTTTGACATATTTCATGGTTAAGATTCATTTATACCATCATTACAACATGGTTTACAGGTATAGCTCACCCAAAAATGAAAATGCACTCACCCTCAGGCCATCAAAGATGTAGATGAGTTTGTTTCTTAATCAGATTTGGAGAAATGTAGCATTACATCACTTGCTCACCAACGGACTGCATTGGTGAGTCAGAATGAGAGTGAATGGGTGCCGTCAGAATGAGAGTCCAAACAGCTGATAAAAACAACAATAATCCACAAGTAATCAACACCACTCGAGTCCATAAGTTAATGACTTGTGTTTGTAATGAAAAAAATCATTATAATGACATTTTTAATTTCAAACCGTTGCTTACGGCGAGTCCATAATTCATAATATTGCTTTCTCCAGTGAAAAAAGTAATCTGGACTCAATCAGGAGAGAAATAAGCACAGATCAAGCACAGTTTACAAGCCAAAAACAGCTCTAAACAAATATGTGGGTGAATTTTGACGTGAGAAGACAACAGGAGGTGGACTTTTTTCACTGGAGGAAGCATTTTCTCCAGTGAAAAAAGTCATCTGGACTCAATCAGGAGAGAAATAAGCACAGATCAAGCAGTTTACAAGCCAAAAACAGCTCTAAACAAATATGTGGGTGAATTTTGACGTGAGAAGACAACAGGAGGTGGACTTTTTTCACTGGAGGAAGCATTATTATGAATTATGGAGTCATATTTGTGCCAAAAGCAACAGTTTAACGTTAAAACTCCCAAACAATGGATTTGTTTCTTACAAACATGCAGCTTTTGGCTTTTCAAGTCATTAACTGATGCACTGGAGTGGTGTGGATTATTGTGACGTTTTTATCAGCTGTTTGGACTCTCATTCTGACGGCACCCATTCACTGCAGAGCATCCATTGCTGAGCAGGTGATGCAATGCTACATTTCTCCAAATCTGATGAAGAAACAAACTCATCTACAGATTGGGTGGCCTGAGGGGGAGTATATTTTAAGCAAATTTTCATTATGGGATGAACTGTTCCTTTAAGATGAGTGTGAATGACCGTGATGCACTTCATTGTCATGCTCTTGTCTGTATAAACTAGTTTGCTCGTGTGTGTAACAGACTGTGCTGACCTGTGCTCTTGTCTGTGTTGGATTTGTTGTGTTTTACTGTGCTGTTCTGTAAAAGGCTGAGTTTCTTCCGGAGGCTCCGTAGACTCTGCAGGAAAGACGTCTCATGGGCAGAGAGAAGCTTTTGGACCTGCCTAAGAGCATTTAGCACTTCCTCTCCACTCTGACAGTCCTGTGCAATTAAAAAACATATATTAGACATAAGAACAAATGAGCGCTGGCTAAATCACTACGTTTCAGTTAATTAACATTATTACCTGTAAAATTGTAGCAAGTGCAACCTCAGTTTTATACGGTTAAATTTATTCTGACCAAGTTTTTTTTTGCATAAACATTATATCGAACATTTATTGAACTCTTCATATCGTTTTATCGAAGAAAATTATATCGCCCAGCCCTAAAATATAAAAATATTAATGAATACACATTGCAGAATATTGATAAAGGCCCAATAACAAAAAATCTCAACACAACAACTACAAATTCTTTGTAAAAGTCCCAAAAATTAAAGTTTCTCTTTATGTTTATTTATATTGTTTCAAAGTAACTTACTTGCGCCTGAGATGTGAAGAGTTGGCTTGTAAAAATGATCATGAAAAAACCTTCATCCTTATAATAACACAGCAGAAGTCCTTAAAATCCTCAGTGAATGTAGAAAACTTGAGTTCAGTGTTGTTATTCCAGTTTGGTTACGTTCAACTCAGGCAAAAAGTTTGTAGATGCTGTTTGAGTCCAGACCGAGTCTTTGCTTGTTTTGGGGTGTTTTCATTCCGCCCTTCATCTGCGGGCGCGACTCTGGGGGAACTCAAACGACAAAGAAATATAAAGGTACTTAAAAAAAAAATAATAGGCCTACCAATATTTATACTCTGTATAATTACGATACCAAATAATTTAAGAGGGGAATGTCATTTACGAAAGAAATTATATGCCTATACCTTACTCTACCAAAGGTGTCTTTTGAAGAAGTCAGAAATATCAAACTAACCAAACATTTCCACTATATTATAGTTTCTACCGTTCAAAATAACAACAAATGTAGGCTATTTGGACACTTTCTGGTTCTCCTATTGCTGTAGGCTATATTTTACATAAACTACAGGTGCATCTCAATAAATTATTTAATACACGAGTTTCACAATTTGAGTTGAATTACTGAAATAAATGAACTTTTCCACGACATTCTAATTTATTGAGATGCACCTGTATACATTCACGATGAAATAACTGCTATACAGTTTCCCAAGCTGTATTTATCTGAGGACAAGTGTTTGTAAACACTAAGCTACTGCATAAAACAAATGTGGACTGCACAAATAGGCTATGCACGTTTTTATTTTATTTTATATTTTTTGCTTCATTTATTGAATAGTTGCAGTTATGGATTCAATTATAGCTACCAAAGCAGTCAAACTGTATATATTTTCACAGAAACCAGGCGTTTATTAATCATCCCCTCAAACGTGTTCCCCACGCAGCCGCATTTCTCAGAAATCACAGCTGTCACAGACGACGGCTTTTCAAATCCCAAACCCACCACAGTTTTACCTCATCAGCACTTTACAAGCGTGATTTCACCCGGTGTCTCGACTGGTTGGAGCGCAAAGCTAAAGTTAGTTCTTCATCTGTCATCCTCTCACATTAGCGCAGTTGCGAGGGGAAGCTCGGGGGGATGCATTTAAAGCTCCCTGAATAACGAGAAAAGAACCAGTCAGCTGTATCATGTTAAAACGGAACCGGACAGTTTGATATTAAGTTATCGTTTCGTTGATTTTCTTAATAAGGGCGCCTGGAGGAGCTGTGGCGAACGCTAATGAAAGAACAGAGGCTGCTTGAATGCTGAAGCGAGACAGTGATGGATGGGGTCTCAGATGAATTTTGCTTTACAACTTTCATTTTTCCCGTCTGGATTTCTCCCATTCTCTTCTACAGGGAATGGATCAGTCCAGAAGCACATTTAAACCCCCTTTGGATTTGATGTGCTGGCAAATGGTACGAGCCCCAGTGTAGAAAAGCCATTAACTCCAGTGTATGAGCTCTCTCTTCTCTCTCTCTCTCTCTCTCTCTCTGTGAGGTTAAATAAAGAGTGCATTTCGAGGGAAGCTACAGCAGATGAGCAGGATGTTCAGAATGTAAGACTGTAATGACCCTGTTGAGAAGTCAGCGTCGCAGTCTTCAGTGTAAGTGTGAGTTTTTTCCTCTTTCTCTCACTCTATTCTCATCTGCATTTTACAGGAAGCTGAACTGCTGTCAGATTGGAGTTGGTATTTTTTTTAATTGTTTTCTTCATGGTTTGCATATTTGATTACTGCATTCAAAAACATAAAGGTCGTATTTCACAAAAAAAAAAAAGAAACAAACAAATAATAAGAAATTATATTTTGTATAAAGAATGTGAAGTCTTCTTTGCATTGTGAAATTATCATGAGAATGAAACTCATTTCTGTTAAATTTATCTTGATTTGTTGTATACAGACATACATTTTTACTGTATTCATTGTATTTGCAATTACTGTTTACTGTTTTCTTTTTAAAACATGTATATTTTTGTATTATTTAAATAGAGTTTATTAATTTTTAAGGTTTAGTTATGTGCTTTTGTCTTTTTTTAAATCTATTTTTGTTTAGCTTAAATGTATTTTTGGTCCATATTTAATTTTTAAACAGGTCTGTAAAAACATGGCCCAATTTTAATATAAAGGCATTTTCCATATTGATTGTTCACAGGTGTTATACCTGTATTACGAAGTACACATTGTGTTGTAGCGTTAAAGGAAACGTATCTTAACAGATAGTGTCCTGGCCTCACTCTATTCTCATCTGCATTTTACAGGAAGTTGAACTGCTGTCAGATTGGAGTTGGTATTTTTTTGAATTGTTTTCTTCATGGTTTGCATATTTGATTACTGCATTCAAAAACAAAGGTCGTATTTCACAAAAAAAAAGAAAGAAACAAATAATAAGAAATTATATTTTGTATAAAGAATGTGAAGTCTTCTTTGCATTGTGAAATTATCATGAGAATGAAACTCATTTCTGTTCAATTTATCTTGATTTGTTGTATACAGACATACATTTTTACTGTATTCATTGTATTTGCAATTGCTGTTTACTGTTTTCTTTTTAAAACATGTATATTTTTGTATTATTTAAATAGAGTTTATTAATTTTTAAGGTTTAGTTATGTGCTTTTGTCTTTTTTTAAATCTATTTTTGTTTAGCTTAAATGTATTTTTGGTCCATATTTAATTTTTAAACAGGTCTGTAAAAACATGGCCCAATTTTAATATAAAGGCATTTTCCATATTGATTGTTCACAGGTGTTATACCTGTATTACGAAGTACACATTGTGTTGTAGCGTTAAAGGAAACGTATCTTAACAGATAGTGTCCTGGCAGAAAATTACCAATACATTTTCTAATTTTATTTATAATTTCAGTCATTTTATTTACATTTTTAAAGTTTAAATTTGTCATGTAATATTTATATGTTAATTCAGCGTCATTTCAGTTAACAAAAACTGTTTTTAAAAGTTTTTATTAACAACAATGCTAAATCAACAGTGTTTTAATTTTTAATTTTTTATAAGATCAGCTAGAAATAGCTAGTGTTGGGGGTAGTAATGCATTACAAGTAACGCAAGTTACGTAATCAGATTACTTTTTTCAAGTAACTAGTAAAGTAACGGATTACTTTTTAATTTACAAGAGAATATCTGAGAAAATTACCAATACATTTTCTAATTTTATTTATAATTTCAGTCATTTTATTTACATTTTTAAAGTTTAAATTTGTCATGTAATATTTATATGTTAATTCAGCGTCATTTCAGTTAACAAAAACTGTTTTTAAAAGTTTTTATTAACAACAATGCTAAATCAACAGTGTTTTAATTTTTAATTTTTTATAAGATCAGCTAGAAATAGCTAGTGTTGGGGGTAATGCATTACAAGTAACGCAAGTTACGTAATCAGATTACTTTTTTCACGTAAAGGCTTTTATATTTGCCAAAAATAGAACTTTTTTATTTTAAAAACAAACAAGCAAGCCCTGTCCAGATTTAAAAAGTAGCGCAAAAGTAACGTAACGCATTACTTTCCATAAAAAAGTAATTAAGTAACATAATTAGTTACTTTTTTTATGGAGTAATGCAATATTGTAATGCATTACTTTTAAAAGTAACTTTCCCCAACACTGGAAATAGCACCTTATCAGTTGCACATTTTCACAATTTACACTGTAATAACATACAGAGAGAGTAATATTAGGCTATTATACAATGACTTTCTGCAGTGTTTTGATGATTTAGTCACTGTTACTACTAATGTGTTATTTAATGTGAGAAGACAAATAATAGTACACAAACTCAAAAGCGTATAGGCTTTGTAGACAGACACTCACACACATGCACTCCAGTTGTTTTATTGTAGTCATTACTTGTTAAATGGCCTATATCACTAGGACAATGATGCATTTGTGGTGAAAGTGCACTGAATAGTGTTCACCATGTGACAGAGATATTAATCTCAAAACACAGATGATTAACCCTAACCAAGCAACATATGTTGGCTAATAATGGCATTTCTGTAAATCCTGACAGTGAAATATTGAGCCTGTCTTTCTTTAAATATATTTTGACAATTCCTATTGTAACTAAAGTTATTTTTAGTTTTATTTTCTCCATTCTAACACCCTGATACCATAACGTTTTCATTTATTCTGTTTCTTGATAGAGGATACAGTCATTTTTTATTCAAGAGTGAGGCAGCGTGTGACAGAAGGAGTGTTGTTGTATTATTCAGTTCATTGTTGTTTTCCTTTCAGCGTGCACTTGTGCTGTCTCTCTTATTTAGACGAAAGCATGACGGGAGTTTTGCGACCCTCCAAACAGAGATCCGGTATGAAGCGACCTCGAAATGAGCCTTACAGGTACATCCACACACACTAATTTCTCACAGGCATATTTCACAGCTCATGTCATGAGGAAATATGAAACATCTGCTTCCTGAGGGCATGCGTCTCCAGTGCTCTTCCACTCATATTTTTGACACTGTGACACTGTGCTTTTCTCACTCTGGTTCTCTCATCTTTGTCTTTCTCTAGTCTATCCATCTTTTTTCAGCCCCTGCCAACATCAATTTTTCGGGTGTTTTTAATATTAGGCTCTGTTCTGAGTTATGAGCTAGAGGACATTTCCAGTGCAATTACATTTGTATGAGGTATATTTTCGAAACTGTGACTGTGACTGCGAACTTTTGACTATCGGCATGAAGTCTGGTCCACAGCGTTTTTTTCCTATAAAAACCTAACGACTTTAATCACGGAAAGAACTACAATGAAGCATTGACATAATCAAATAAAAAATGATGGAGAAATATAAAACTATCGGTTTAAATATGTTGATTACATGTCGAGAAACAGTATATTCTACATCAATTGTAAAATATGCAAATGTACACAAATGTTTAAGTAGTTTGGGAGCATATGACTATGTAACATGATTCACATTGCTTCATGGGATTGGGTTGGTGCTAAAGTGTTATTATGGTGCAATTGTCGCAATTCACTGATTGGTGTTTTGTTTTTTTTTGCAGAATCATGGGTAATGTAGTTTTTCACAGTTTAATGATTAATGGTTACATTAATACATTTATTAATGTACTTGTTATCAAGATTTTTGCTTCAAAAACATAATTTAGAAGTAATAAGCTATTTTCTGTCCTGTTTTTAACCCCCCTCATCAGAACGCTCTGTTTGAATAGGCGTGGCGGATTGTAGATTGTGATTTAGGTTAAAAACGCATAAATATTTACATCAAATGATCTGTTTAACATGCAAAGCAATAGTGATCACGTAATGAAAACAGTTACTCACACTTGTGTTGCGGCATTACTGTCGGATCCAATATAGTCGGCACAGCATCATCTTTAAGTTTCACACTTTCTGAAAATCCAGCGTTGAATTTTGCCTTGTTTGTAAACGAATCAATATTTATATTCATATAATTTATAATATATATAAATATATTTAAAATATAAAAAACATTTTTTTTCTTAAATATATACATGCATGTGTGTGTATTTATATATACATAATAAATATACACAGTACACACAGATATATTTAACCAAAAACTTTTATTTTGGATGCAATTAATTGCGATTAATCGTTTGACAGCACTATAATGTTACAATATATTCTATTGTACATACATTTTATTTTGAACTTTCTATTCTTTCTGAAAATCCAGCGTTGAATTTTGCCTTGTTTGTAAACAAATCCGCAATAAAATGAAGCTTCTTAATGACACGGTCTGGATCTTCATTAAAAATATTCTTTCCTAATATTGGGATCAGATGCAAGGCAGTGCAAAGACTATTTTTCCACTGCTTGGCACTGAACAGCATCTTGTTGTCTTTTTCGTTTCGTTTCTGCATAGACCTGCGTTTGTCTCAGGTTATTTACACGACATGCAGGAATCGGTGGGCGGGGCTAAACAGGCAGTGATGTCAAAGCAGGCACTGATGTTTATCCACACTATTACGTCATAGAGTGGCACATTCCACAAGCTGTTGTTTTGGCAGACTGCCTTCAATATAAGCTGTTTTTAGACTAACAAGAAAGTTTTGAGTTCTGAAACTTACAGGATGTTTTTTAGTACAATGACCTCTTGTATATCAAAAGATCAAGGGAATTTTGGTTTCTCAGTTCATGACCCTTTAGAAATCACTTACCCTATAGAGAAAATGAATGGGATGTTACTTCCGAAACCTACCTGTTGCACCCTATTAAGAAGTGCCCACTTAGACAGGAAGAGAATGTCTGACAAAAAAAGTATAAAATCGAAGCTTTGTAGACTTTAATTAGTTTAGACATTTATTTAATCAGAAATACTATTTACATTTACAATTATGCCAGTAACTTTTAACCAGAATTGAATCTGTTTAGAAAAGTACACTGTAAAAAAAAAATCCATAAAATTGATGGTAAAAAAACGGCAGCAGTGGTTGCCAGAATTTTACTGTAAAAAATACGGTAGCAACATTTTAGGTTTTACCTAAACAAAATCAGCACATTTGTGCTTTTTTCTGTGGTTTTCCTCTCTGTCAGAGGAATACTGATCTGAGAACCCGATTTGAGAATATCTGATTCCATGTGCTTTTTTCCTACTTATATGTTATCATATCCGATCTGTGGCACAAAAAATTGGATTTGGGTCACTTGAACCATGTAATGTAAATGCGGCCATAGAGACTTGGGCCCGAACATATTAGCAACTGCATAGCAACACTGTGGAAACCAGTCACGTTATGCTGGTGACTGTAGCAGCATTCGCGTATACAAACATCTATGATGTTTATATACTGTATTACAGACCGAATTGAATGTCCTTTATCTACCCACAATGCACTCTAAGAAGTACAAGGTCTATAATGCAGTTTCACAGTCCATTTAATCTCATTTACCTTCCTAAGCATCCTACCAGCACTTAAACACACACTCTCTCTCTCTCTCACACACACACGAGCGCGACAGGAATTTACTCCACTTATTTGCATAATGTTACAGGGCGGCTTTGACTGGCGTCTTCTCTCTTGGCTCTGGGCTCCATATGACTCACGCAGCTGCTTATTTGCCTCTTGTTAAGTGTTTTCACACACCAGGAACTTTGTTCTCTATTTCAATCTCATCAGAAGATCTGACGTCTCATTGGTTATGGCCTGCGGTCAGATGCTGTTGTTACTGCATTAGTGTGTGCTGGGATTCAACACGACCCCTGGATTCTATCTGCATTTTAAACACCCTCCCGTAGGGCCAAGCATCCCATCGTAGAGCGAAAACCTCTGAAAATATGTTTGGCAGCATGCATTAGTGTGGCCCACGGGGGTTTCTCTAGTGGCCATTTTTTTGCTTGGAGATGTGTGTGTCTGCCATAACAAAAGTCTAAATGTAACCCTCTAGTGTGCACTTTGTTGCCTCTGGCTAACAAACCCGTTTTCTTCACTTTGGAAGCATATAAGAGAGCAAAAATGATTCATGAGGGATTACTTTTAATAAAAATGGGACGTTTTTTTCTCGGCGCTCATTTTAAAATGTGTACTGTGTCAGGGATGAACATTTTTGCTCTGCAGAACTGCTCACTGAAAACGAGCTCTTCAAAAATACAATTCATATTTGTCAGTGAGTGAACAGATGCAACTAAATGAATATGGATGCAGACACAATAAAAAATAGCTACTGCAAATACTTCAAATATGTTCAGTTTACATATTTTAACAAGTATGTTAGATTTTATTATATTATATATTATTAAATCATCTATCTTTTAGTATTGACTTACCATTAAAGTAAAATTTAAGTAAAAAGTAAAACTTGTATCCAGTTCTGTTCTGTTGGATTCTGTCACTCTGGCAGTGAGTGAAAAATGTGTATGACAATGTTTAATGTAATAACCCCTTTAAATATCTGTTATTTTAAACATTGTAACATTTTTCTACTATTTTAACATACTATTCTAACATTAGCTGGAAAATTTAAATAGGTACATATATATGAATAAATATAAAGTTCTGTTATGAAACTCCAGATGGCGCAGGCTGATAGGTTGCTACTCAGTCTGATAATATCACATCATTATTCACATGGCACAGCTGATTGGTTTCTTTTCACATCAACAGGCAATGAGCTCGCTGCTCAACATCAAATACTTGGCTTGTGCTTGCTGTAGCAGTTGCAGTGCACTTCAGAAACACTCCACCCTCCCCAGCTCCACCTGTATAGATCTGCTGCAGGGTAATCTCATGCATGTTATATATGGGGGTTATTTCACATATGTTATATGGGCAGCAGCAGTATTATTTCTGTATATTACCATGCTAAACTCTCAGAGAGTTGTCATGACAGAAATATAAATATTTTCATAAATAAAAATCTGTCTTGCCATACAATGAAAGTTTATTTACACCACAGAATAAAAATTTCAAGAAGGTAATTGACTTTTTATCTCACAATTCTCAATATTTGTCTTGTAATTTTAAGATTATATACTAGAATTCAGACATTTTAGAATTGCAAGTTCATATCTCACAATTGTGATTTTAAAGTTTACTAGGTTTTTTTCCCTCAGAATTGGGAGTTTAAATATTGCTATTGTGAGTTTACATTGAGCATTTCAGATTTTTTTTTTTATTCACATGGTTTGACCTCATACACATGCTTCTGAGAAAAATGTCAGCACTGTGAGATAAAAAGTTGCAATTACCTCTTTTATATTTTATTACATAAAAAATAAATAAATAAAATTGGGATTCGAACTCGGGACGCCTGTAGCGCAACAGTGCTGTATGTCGGCGCACTGCCCACAAGGCTATTGGCACCAACTTACATTATATTTTTACATATTCTTATCAAATGTGAGTGGTGCAAAAGCTGCTGCCCCAATTTTTGGGTGGTTGTCATGTTGATGCTAAGTGGTTGCTAAGACATGTTGAGTGTTTTTTTTAGCATGAGTGTTGTAGTTGGTTGCTAGGGCGCTGCTATGTAGTTGTTAGGGTGTTATGTGTAGCCCAAGTTATAAGAGCCCACCCTAACGTCTTCAGGATTTTCTGTTGTCCAGATATGGTTGGGTTCCTCAGTCAATGGCATTTTATGGTATTTATGGTAAATCTGTCTGACCGCATTGAAAAGGAATAAATGAATAAATGCCAATGAAGTTTATTTAGGTTTAGGGTTTGGTTAAAATCACTCACCCTAATAAATGAGCAACAGTTTGAGTGATAGCACTGTTAAAGAGGTTCAGACACACTAGGACTGAGAAGCATTTGAGGCTCAGATCTGCAGCTGAGAGCAGGTTATTTTAAGAGCTGGATGTCACTGTCGTAAGACTCTTTTATCCTGCAGCTTAGAGCAGCAATCTGACCCAGTCTGAT